TTTTGTCAGAACCGGGGATTGAACTCAGCCCCTTGAGCTCGCCAGGGAAGCACTTATTCCACTGAGCCATCTCCCTGGCCTGATAAAATTAATTTTAAAAAATCATTAAAATAAGACAGGCTCTGAAACCTTGGCAATCACTGTCCGTTGCGCTTAGGAGGCCCAAGCCCCCTTGGCCTGTAGGCTCAGCTATTCCCTGGGCTGCAACCCCCACCTCCCATCCCACTCCCTCCCCCACTCGTGTCTGAACCCTGATTTCAGCTAAATCCTCACACTCTTGAGTTTTAGTGCTCTTGACCAGTCTTGTTCCGTGTTTCTCAAACTTCTTTATCAGCACACTCTCTGTCTACCTTGAAAGTGCTTATATAGACCTGTTTTCCTCCTAATTGTCCTCCTATGATTGTTTTTCCCCAATACCAAGGATAGAATCCAAGGCCTTCGCATTGACATTGGTCTCACTAAATTCTTAAGTTGCCAAGTTGCCCATGCTGGACTAGAACTTTGAATCCTCCTGCCTCAGCCTCCCAGAGTGCTGGTATTACAGGACTGTGTCACCATGCCTGGCCTGAAAAAAAAAATGTATAGTGAAAAACAAAAGTATACATTAATCATTTGTCAGCTGGACTCAAGTTTAGTGATCTCGGTTCGGTTGAACTTCCACAGCATCATCATCGGCCAACACATGCCTTCTTCTGTCAGGCTCAGTGAATTCTGAGCTTGGCCACTGTCACAGAGCTACTTCACAGCCTGTGCGACCTGGCGCTCGTTGGCCCTGGTAGCCACAAGGAACGCAAGTACACCGCCTTCTTTTTCTTGTTGGGTCCGTGGCAGAAGGGACCAGTGGCCCGGTGGCCAAGCTGTGTTTTCCCAGGGTGCACTTCTGAGGTTATTTGGGCAGCTAGAAGATGGGGGATATGCTGATCTTATTTTGTGGCTGTGGCCGCTTCTCAGCATAACTGTGGAGTTCAAAGCCTTTGCTTTGGCTTCAGCTTTAGGAGGGGCAGAGCTTTCTTCTTCTGTTTTGGTACTGTCATGGTGGAGAAGTCACTGTGAGGTTTTAACACCATAGGTGCACTGTAGGTATCTTCAGCCAGTGTGTGTGTGTGTACGTATATGATCTAATATACACGTACGTAATCTAATATATACATATATGTCTAATAGATATATACACATATGTACATATGTTCCATATATAAGATTAGTTGTTTTGAATCAGTTCTTCCCGTGTAGCCCAGGCTGCTCCTAAACTCACCGTGCCGCCCAGGTTGGCCTCCAACTTGCAGTCCTCCTACCTTAACCTCCCAAGTGCTGGGAGTGCTAGGTTGGTATCACCATGCCTGGGTAAAATTAAGATTAAAAAAAAAAAATCTGCCCTGTTGGGGACCTGTGCTCCAGTGAGGTAGTGCCAACTTTTGCTCTGATTTTCCTATCACCCTCCTTTTTAATTTTTTAAGGTTGGTTCTTGGGGTGAGTCTCCCCACAGGAGTGTGTGAACTCCAAGGGATGGGGAGCTCTGTCTGTTCTGTTCACCATTGGCTCCCCTCTGTGGCAGGAAAGGCTAGCCCTGGAGACCCCAGGGACCCCGTTATCCTGAGTTTTTTTTTTTAATTTTATTTATTTGTATGTGTGTGTGTGTGTGTGTGTGTGTGTGTGTGTGGCCAGCTCAGCCCACCGGGGTGCGGGGCCGGCTGGCATGTGGTGCTGGGGGATTGAACCGTGGTCCCTGTGCTTTGCTAAGCTTGTTCTAGGTAGGTGCTTTAGACCACTGAGCCATCTCACCAGCCCATATCCTGAGTTCTTGGGACACCACATGAGCAGGGAGAGGCTGTGACCCAGGGGGCTGAAAGGCCATGGGCAGCAGGGCGATATTTCCCTTCCCTGCAGCAGTGTGACAGAAGGCAGGCGTGAGAGATGGACAGACACACAGACGTTGGCTCCAGGGCCACTTCTGCTTTTAGAATACTGATGCATTTTTTATTAAAGAAGAGAATAAAGCATTTGTAAATATATTTCTCTCATGTATACTTCAAAGGTGATGCTGGTCAGCTGCTACAGAGCTGGGGAGTGAAGAGGCCAGTGCTCCCCCAACCCCATCTCCCCCAGATGACAGACACACATGGATAAAAAGGTTCTAAGTCGCACAAACAGAAGGACCCAGCCGCCAGCTCACATCACAGTGCAGCCTGGAGCATGGTGGCATCTCCAGGGATGTCAGGCATGCTTGTTAAGAAAATCCCTTTACCCACTAGAAAGAAATAAGGCATGAAGGCTCCCTCTGGGTTACCAGCACAGAGGCCAGGGTGGCGGCCTTCCACTGGATTGTATGAGTCCTCTGATTTCTAGGGCTTTAGGAAGGACAGCAGAAGGTACCAAACCCCTGAAGGACTGTGGAGGGCAAGCTGGGGACCTGGGCATCTCTTAGCTGAAGTGTAACTCTTGGAAGCCTTACATCAGAAGACTGAAGCCCAGACCCAGCTGGGCTTCACAAGCCTCTGCCAAGGTGGGAGGTAAAAGCAGGCATTTTACAGAAGGGAAGTGAGAACTTGTCCCTCATCCCCATCCCCATCCGGTGCTGTTCAGTGTGGGTGAGAATCTTGGTAGTCCCCAGGGAAGGGGATCAGGGATGGACGCTGGCACCACTCGCTGATGGCACGTGACCAGGACATTCTGCAGATGTGGTCTGCATCAATGTAGCCAATGTAGCGTGAATGAGACATCATGGTCCCTGAGATGGGGGCAGGTGCAGGCATGAGGACTGGGATTCCCTCCATCCTGGCCCCTGGTAAGCTCAGGCCCAGACACCACTTCTGGGACTGGAACTCAGGGAAGCTGGCTCTGAGAGACACAGGGGTATTTGTGTATGGCTGTCAAGGGGCTCCCCTGTCCCCTATTGGTTATAGATCTACAGTGGACTGACGGTTCTAGCCAGTTTGGAGCCGGGCATTCAAGGCCAGGGCAAGGCTTTCTGCTTTGCAAAGCAAGGACCATGTGTGTCCTGCTCAGGACTCTGGAGGAGGGACAGCTGGTGTGCTAGGGAATGACAGTGCGTCACAGCCGGTGGGAAGCAGTGTGTGGTCCAGGGGACCCTAGGAACCTGCAACGTCGGCTCCTGGGGTCCCCTTTCAAGTGTTTCCAGTTGTGGCAAGCGGTCAAGGAAGATCTTGCATTGCAAATCTGGCAGAAAAACTGAATTTGGAAAAACAACAACACAAAAGCCAACTAATCCAGAGTGGCTTCCGGAAGCCTGGCCCCATCTGAGGGCGAGGCCCAGGGTCAGGAAACCAGGAACAGGGAGAGCTTAGGAAGCCCCGGGCAGTGGGTATGTTTGGCTTTGAAACTGAGCTGTGTCTTTAGGTGGAAGCGGGTGGCTGGGTCCATCCATGGGAAACATGCAGTGTCCCCAGATCAGAGAGGTTTCTGTTCCTTGCACACTGATGGAGGCCACCTGCTGGGTCATATTGCTGCTAAAGGACTCTTATCTGCCACCGGCTGTGTGGCCTGAAGCCCAGGGAGGATGCAGGCCACGAAAGGGTCACTTGCTGCTGTGCGTCTTGACTTTGGTGGCATTGATGTCAGCCTTGGTCTTCTGGATCCGGGCAAAGATCTCCTTGAAGAGTGCCTTGTATTCTGGCTGGCTCTGCTCCAACCGCTTGTCCACGGCCTCCACGTGCTGGCTCAGGCTCTTCTCCCCCGCCTTGGCCTCCCCTTGGCCGTCCTCGCCCCCACACAGGTCCCTCCATGAGCTGTCTCGGGAGATGGGCCTCGAGGTCTGCACGCCCGCGTGCCGCACCCCCGCCCCGTGCTGCCGGCACTTGCTCAGCAGCTCTTCGTACTTCTCCAGCAGCGCGTGGTACTGTTCGTCCACCTCCCGCAGGATGGACATGCCGCGCCTGCGCACGCTGTTGGCGTGAAGCGTGAGGTGACCCGCGTGCCGGCCGGCAGGGTCTTTGGCCACGATGGCATTGAGCGCCGTGTCGCTGCAGCTCTTACGCACCGCGTGGCCTGGGGAGGCAGAGGGTGAGGAGACACCGTCCTGAGCGCCAGCCTCATCCCCGCTACCTGGCTGGGGGTCGTCAGCCTCAGGGGCCTGAGTGAGGGGTGCCAGCAGTGCCTCAGCGAGGTGGTCGTCCCGGCCTAGTAGGTAGGTCTTGGCCTGCTTCATCTGCTGCAGCTCCAAGAGCTCGGCTTCCAGTTCCTGCACGCGCAGGCGGCAGCCCTCCATCTCACATAGCTGTCGCTCCAGCTCCGTGTACTCCTGCAGCACAGCCGTGTACTCCCGCTCTGCCCGCTCCTTGCGCTGCCGCTCCTGGCTCACCTGGGAGCGCAGCACCCCCACCAGGGTCTGCAGCCGCTCGTTCTCCTGCTCCAGAGGTCGAGGGCCCAGCTCCAGGGAGGAACTGTGCAGGCGGAAGGCATCCTCGCACCTGCCGGGAAGTGGGGCATGTGGTCACCGGTCAGGCGTCCAGCCCAGCCTTGGACATCGACTGGCCGCCCAGTCATCTCCACCCCTCTTTTCCCTGGAGGCTGAGCACTGGGAACAGCTTCAGCTAGGGTCCCTGTTGTCTCCTGGCTCTGCAGTGGTAGGCAGGGCTGTTTTCTCCCCACTCCTTGTCCCTGGATGATCCAGCCAGACAGCCCCCTCCATATCTTCTAAATTCCAGTGATCTCCCTCAGCTTGCCCCAAGGCCTGGAGATGGTGCAACTCTAGGATGCTTCAGATTCCATATGGTTGTTCTTCTCCAGCGACCTCCCCTCTATTATTCTATGCAAGGATCCTCTTTTTTTTTGAGACAGGATCTTGCCATGTAGCCCAGGCTGGCCTGGAACTCACAGTGATTGCTTTGGCTCAGCCTCCCGAGTGTTGAGATTACAGGTGTGCACCACCATGCCTGGCTAAGGACTCTATTAAAGCACCCACTAAATAACCAATTTGTGCTAGGTGTGTGGTTCACACCTGTAATCCCAGTACTCCAGGACGCTGAAGCAGGAGGATTATAAATTGGAGTCTAGTCTGGGCGATTTACTGACTTAGTGAGACCCTGTCTCAAAATTTAAGAAGAGGTACGAGGGGTCTGGGATGAAGCTCAGTGTGAAAGCCCTGGGTTCAATCCCCAGTACCACAAAACAAAATCTGTCCCAGTTTCCCCCAGTGCTGGGGATGGAACCCAGGACATCATGCATGTGAGGCTAGCCCTCTGCCACGAGCTACACCACCAGCCTGCATCCTTTTTCTTTGCTTATGAACTTCAATTTTCTCATCTGAGTAGTGGTCTGAAAAAGTCTGCGGTAGGTGACAAGTGCTGAATTAGCCCAGAGTGGCACAGTGCCAGTGCTCCAGAAATGCAGTTGTTGTCATTGTCCCTGGAGGCAGCCTCACGGAGGCTCTCCTGGACAAGGCCCCAAGGCTCCTTCCTGCCCGCTGCCTGGTGTCCATCTCCTCTTCCCACCCCTGGCTGGCCGTCCCAGGACTCAGAGACACCAGGCCCCTCACCTACCGTGGGCTGGTGCACAGCTCCTTGAGGCAGGGGAAAGTGTGGATTGTTCGCCTGCGTTCCCGCTTCTCCCGGCGCATGCGCAGCTGCTCCAGACCCCTCAGCTGCTCCACCTGGGCCTGCAGCTCCTCCACCTGGGCCTGCAGACACTCCACAGTCTCTGTCAGCCTAAGGTTGTTGGGTGGGGCCACACAGGGGAAGGTTTTCCTCTGTGAAGTCAAGTAGGGAACTTTCTGCAACCCTAGGAGCTACCCTTCTTCCATGCCTCCTGGGGCACACTGATCACACCTCATCTAGTCCCCTCAGAACCTTGTATACCCCTCTATCATGTATCATCCAGCACCTTGCTACAGTATTTACATCCTGCCTTCTCTCTCTGCCGGGAACTCCTAGCAGGCTCTCTGCATCCCCATGACTGTATCTCCAGTACCTACAAGCGAGCCTGGCACATACATGGTGCTTAAAGAAGGGTCAAGGCCTGAATGTCAAGCCATGCAAAATTGACAAAGGCAAATTCACTACCATCCTGGGGTCCTCAGGCTGGGCCACTGGAGGAACGACCAAGTCACCCCACCGGTGCATACACCCAGGTGCACCTAGGCCTCGGCCTCCCTCTTGCCCACCCCAACCTCAGCCCAGCCCTTACCCGTGGATCTTCTGCTGGGCAGCCTTACTCTCCAGCACCAGCCTCTGGTTGGTCAGTTCCAGATCTCGGGCTGTCAGGTCCAGCTGCTCGTACACTTTGGCGTGCTGCTCGTTCACATGCCGGAGCATGTCCAGCTGCTTGGTTAGGTACTACAGGGTGAGGGGTGGACTGGAGTAAACTTTTAGAATGGGTCAGGGGTAAATGCCTCCTCCCAATGCTAGAGACAGAGGACTGACAGGGGAGCCTGTTGGCTGCATAGGTTAGGACCTGCTCAAGGCTGTTGACACAAGCCTGTGTCTACGAAGAAGATGCCTTTTGCAAAGTTAGCACCCAGACCAAGGGCACGTGAAGGGCGGGGGGAGCCCCCACCTCAATCTCTTGCACTTGCTCCTCGTTTGTGGAATACATCTGCTGTAGGGACTCCTCCAGCTCCTTGTTCCTCTCCAGCAGTGTCTTCCCAAGCTCTGCAGCCAAGTGTAAATCTGGAGAGGGGGCCAGAAGGGGACACACACCAACAGGAGACAGTCAGAGGACCCCCACCAATGCTCTAGGCATTATTATGGGCTTGGCCTGGGGACTCCAAGGCAGGCTGCTCTCAGGAAGCCTTCAAGCCAAGGAGGAGGAGGAAGCCAGAGCTAAGCCTTAATACCGCTGTCTCTTCCCTCTACAAAGTCCTCTCCCAGACATACTGCCGCCTCTCCTTCCTCAAGCCTGCGCTTAAATGTCACCTTCTCTCAGGCGTCTCCCAACTGTGTGACTCAAGTCACCGCCTCTCCCTGCCCTGCTTTCTCTCCCCTACTTAACTTTTCTCTAGCATTTAACACCACCTAAATTACAGGACAAGATACCTATTTATCTTGCTCATCTCCCCCTTCTAACTGTGAGCTCAGGGTGTGGGGATCTTTATGCTTTGGCCACTGCTATTCCTAAGCTCCAGGACAGTACATGGCACTGGTGCCACCACTCCGCAGTAGCTCCCCTGCATATAATCCCTAGTACTGACGAAACAAAGCAGAACTCTGTGTGTGTATGGTGTTGGGGGAGGGGAGAAATAGGGCAGAGGAAGGAAAATATACCACCCACAGAAAGGTGCTGTTAACCTTTTGATGGCCATCCTCCCAAACAGTACTCAAAGGGTCCATAGATCTGCCCCAAACTGAAAAAGTTTAGTCTTTTTTCTTTATAAGGTTCTCTCTTAAAATGTCCTTCTTCTAGGCTAATGGTGGAAATCTGGATTAAGATGTGTAAATGCAACTCCTCCAGGGCTCATATAATGTGGTTCAGGGACTGAGCTCATTCTTGCTTTCCCTTCCTAGACACAGTGATAGTTCCGGGTCTTTAGAGGACAGATGGGCCTTTTTTTCCCACCTGGGAAGTTCCATAGATATGGTTGGTTCCATGGAGCCATTTGCTACACATCAGACAAGTCGAGGCTGGGGATTCCCCTCTTGGATGAGCCCGGAGAGCAGGGACTCTGGGATTGCAATTGAGAAAAGAGCCATGGCTTGCTTTCAGCCAAGCAGGGCAAACTCATCTCATCATATGAAAGACAGAGGGGCTAGGCATGGTGGTGCATGCCTGTGCCTATCATCCTCTCAGTAGACTGGGAGGCTGAGGCAGCTCTAGCCCAACCTAGGCACTTCAGGGACTTATTAAGACCCTGTCTCAATATATAAAAGAGGGGCCTGAGCAGTTACCAGTCCCGAACAAAAGACCAAGCCGCTCATCAAGAACAAACCTGGAGCCTGTCCCCATGCTCAGAAGTGAGTTTTTGAAATAGCCCAGGCAGGCCAGGCATGTTGGTATGTGCTTGTAATCCCAGCACTCAGGAGACGAGGCAGGAGAATCCTTGCATGTTTAAGACCAGCCTGGGCTATCTCGTGAATTCAAGGCCGGCCTGACCTACATAGTGAGACCCTGTGTAACAAAACAAGCAGTAAATAAATAACATGGGGAAGTGAAACAGCCAGAGTGGCGACTCCTTGGCTGGCCTCAAGCCTGGGTGTCTTGGGCAGGCACAGCACAGCTGCCACCCCAGAGCCTGGGGTGGGGTGGGGAGAGGCCACCAAAGCAGCTGTCCCCGAGAAAGCACAGCTACTTTTTGTGAACCAGAGATGAAAACTAGCCTCAGGCAGTAAACTGGCTGCTGAGGACGCCAAGAAGTACTCGTCACCTGATGTGAAGCAAGTACAGGATTATGGACACTTGCTGTGAGGACTTAAGAAGGGCACATCAGGCCGGTGTCTGACAGCACCCCCAAGGCATGACGTTTGATGTTACGATTGTTGAACTGCTGTGTTTCGTCACGTGCTTGGCCATAACTGGGGGCCTGGCAAGATCACCCGGCTCGTGATGAGCTAGCGGCGCCACCTTCCTGTTTCCTGGGACAGGATGATAAACACGCAGCTCACCCTCATCCAGTAGCCCATAATGCTGGTATAAAGGCAGAAGACTGAACAGGGTTGGCGGCACATGCCTGTAATCCCAGCTATTAGCAAAGGCTAAGGAAGGAGGATTGTGAGTTTGAGGCCAGCCTGGACAGCAAGAGCCTGTCTCAAAAAGCTGACAAAACAAAACAGTTCAAGGACCACCCCTTGAATGCTTCCCTCCTTGGAACCATGACATGGGCTGAGAAGCAGCCATGACTCCCAGTAAGAGGCCTGCGTAGAGTCCTGCAGCTTAACCAGAATCCCAAACCACAGAGTCTGAGAGAGATAAGCAAAGGCCAAGTGCGCTTGCACCATCAGGGACATGTGGCACTCCTGCAGCCCACAGGCTGGGGCAGATACACCTCACCATGAATGGGGTGCGGGGGGGGGGCAGTGAAGACAGCCCCAGGAAGGCCGCGGATGTGGTATGGAGGAAGGGAGACAGCAGGAGCTGCTGGAGTATTGGGGGGGCGGAACTTCAGTCTGACTCAGGGAAACTGGATCGCACACAAGGCCAGCTAAGCTGCTCAGCACTGTTGGAGGGATCACAGGAGGGGCTGAAGCTGCAGGGCAGGGGACTTTATAGAGGCACCTGCTAGGGGAGCACACCAGCTCGCTGAGGGCTGATACAGGCTTCCAGCTCCGTGGAGGGAGTGGGCTAAGATGGGGGTGCGAGTGAGCAGCAAACAGCCTGTGAAAGCCAGCTCAGGGGGCCCCAGGGCACCAAGCCAGGGAAGATGCTGACTCTGGGCTGATCCCTCCTTCCCCTGTCCGGACCTTGGGGTTTTCAGGGCTCTCATTCAGGGGGCTTTAATGGTTTTATCTTAAGCAATGTCCTAGAGGCCTGAGGGGGAATGGCAGGGAGCCCCAGGGGTGTCTCTGAAAAGAAAATGAAAGCCCAGCACTCTGGGAGGCTAGGGCAAGAGGATCACAAGTTCAAGCCCAGGCTGCGTAATTTGATGATAGTGAAATCCTGCCTCAAAAAAAATTTTTTTTAAATGTTGTTTTCTTTGCTTTTACTTTTTTAATAGAGAAACTTTTAATAAGGGCTGGGAATGTAGCTTAATGTGAAGGCCCTAGGTTCAATCCCTAATACTGGAAAGGAAGAGAGGAAGTGAACGAGACAGAAAGAAACACAGAAGGAAAGAAACTGCAAAATCACACTGCCCTGCCTGACTGGAGTCAGTGAAGTGGCGTAAATGAGTAAAATGGAGTCCACCATTGAGGTGGGATGGGACAGGGAATGGCCACAGGGAAGAGACAGAGGGAAGGGGTGTGGGACTGACGTGGAGGACACCAGCTATATCCTGGTAGGCAGGAGCTCATAGTGCCTACAGCACAAATGTCAGAAACTTGGGGTCTGTAGGACTGGGGACAGCTCATGTTTGGGGTAACCAATGTAGAGGAAGGACATTCCTTTCTTCCCATGTCCAAGCCCTCCCCTGAGGTTGAGGGCTCAAGCTTGGGCTAGGAAGGGGAGGAGAGGGAAGGTACCCAGATTTCAACTTTGTGACTCAGCAGCTGTCCCACAGCCTGGACTGAGTTGTCCTCAGGGCCTGCCACACCGGGTCTAAGGTGGGGGAAGGCGGTGTGCAAAGAGAGGCCAGTACTTAATAATTAATGCATCTGTCTATTTTTACAGATGCTCATGGTAGTGGATAGAAGGAGCGGTGAATCTAGGGCCTTGCTTGTCCCAACCATTTCCTTCCAATCAAAGTCAGATAGGATATCCAAGGCCAAGCTTCTGAGAAGTTAAGTCCAGGGGCACCCTCAGGGCTGAGGAAAACAGACACAGAGGAAGACCAGATGGATGATGAGAAAACCACTCCCTGGGCCACCCAGAGGCAACCAAGGAGCAGCTGTGCAGAGGAGAATTTGGGGACAGGGTGTAGGGAAGGTGGATGCTACAGCTACTCGATCCCCACCCCCTGTGCCATATCTTTTGGCTGCCTCCCACCCTACTATCCAGCTCTCTGAGCCTGGCCCTCAGGATTGGAGGAGGGCTGGTGCCTCTGTAGCTGTGCCTGGGACTTCCTCTGCCTCCTAAAGACTCTTCCAGTCTTTGCATGTGGCTCTGGGCCTTGGTGCAAGCATCCCACCCCCCCCCCCCCCGCATGCAGGAGTCAGGGCTCAAAGCTTTCTGAGTCTCTGCTCTCACTATCTATGGGCTGAAGAGCCTGTAGAATTACTGGACAGAGTTGTTAGTTTGATCCCATTTCTGTCTTCTCTGCCAGAATGTGCAGGTCCCTGAGGGCACACTGCATGTCCCAAGATCTGCAGGATCAGTTTAGCATCGGGCCCGTGGCAAGCAGACACCTGGGTTTTGGTGAAATCTTCAGTAATTACCTCACTACTCGTTTCTTTCCTGTTCATAGGCTCCAGCTAGCACGGGCGCTGCAGATCAGCAAGGCCCAAGCATTGGAGGCCTGCTGCTCCCATCACCCACAAGGCCCCAGGACATAGCTGCTCAGCCCCACAGGAATCTTAATATCTCTCCCTCCCCAGAAGCCATCCATCTCCCACCCCTACTCCCTGGCTTCTTCCTCCCACATCTGGGCCAGGCACAGCGCCAAACCTTCATTAGGGGCACAGGAATTAAATGAGACTGCAACAGTATCAGCATCAGCTTCCCTGGGAGGTCATCTTCCCCAGAACTCAGCTTCTGGTCTTTCCTCCTAAGCCTGCCTCTTCCAGGATGGCATCCGTGGATCACTGATGCTTAGTTACCAGCAGGCCTGCACTAAGCCAGGTATGCTGGGAGGCTCAGGGCTGTGATTATCCTACCTCCCAAGATGATATGTGGCATTCAAGTGGGGTGCAAAGGTGTTTGGGGAATGGAGAGTTTTGGGGAGTGTCCATGGAAAGGGTTTTGTCACAGGCAGTGTTGGGCATCACGCTGCGGGGAGCTGAGGCTAGGGTCCAGAGCACACAGCACAGCAGTCTAGCTTAGTACCCACATGGGTCTCTGAGCCCCGATTAACCCACAGGGCAAGGACAGTGCTTCTGCATTTCCATCCTGGCTGTGTGGGGAAGTGGGTCAGGGCCAGGTAACAAAGGCACCAGAATATAGGTGGATGCCTCCTGTCAGAGCTCAGGGGCCCCAGGGGATGGAGACCAAGGCATGATGGCACACACTGCGCCAGGCTTGTGCCTACACCATCCAGGCCTGTGGGTGACTGCGGAAAGGTCACTTCTCCCCTGACACCTCCAAGAATGAGGCACCTTGAGGGTGGAGAGGATGGATTTCACTCTGCTTCAGCCAGGCCTTAGGCTTGACCCTCTTAGGCCTCCTCCTTTCTGTCCCAGCAGCCCCACCCCCTGCTCCGGGTGATGTCACTTCGGCCACCTCATCACCAGTTTCTAACCCCCTTCCAATTGCCCTCTCTGTCTTCAGATGAGGTGGTGGTTGCAAGATCCTCTCCAAATCCTGAGCCATTTTGCAGGGGCTTCTGGAGGGGAGGGGCCAGGCAACTGTCCCTCAGGATGGCCGAGACTCAACTTTCCCCTTCTTCACTAGCATGGTCCACCACACCACTCCCTTCCTGGTCAGACAGAAGCGAGTTGCAGAAACTTCCTGGGAGTCTTAGGAGCACAGAAGTCCCGGAAGAAATAAATGCGATTGGATTTGGAACGAGAGGGTGTCCCTCTGCACACAGCACCCTCCGGCCCTGAAGTCTTACAGCCAGTGCCCGGGTCTAGCCGTACTCGGGCACCTGGGCAGTTGGTGCCTTTAAGATAGGATAGGCGAGCGAGATGATGGATGACCCGTCGACTAGGGAGCTAGGAATAACCCCCGCCCCCACTTTTGCAGGTCTCCTTCGGTCCTGTCCCGGCGGCCAGCGGCCCTGTCTCCACCTCCCCTTTCTCCAGACGTGCCACTCCTCGGAGTCAAGCGCTCCAGCTCCGGTCCTGCCTAGCTCTTCCCGGGGTGATACCTCTGGACAATGGAGTAGCAGACTGGGTCGCGGGGTGCACCCTTGCTGTCCCCCAGCCCCCACCACCGCGCTCACCCTGCTCTAGGTCCTGCTGGTCATACCAGGGCTCCTCTTCCTCCGCGGAGAAGTCCTCCATCCCGGCGGCTCTTCGCATGGCCCCGCGGGCGGCGCTGGGTGGGCGCTGCGGCTGCGAAGGCGGCCGCGCGGCTCAGGGCCGGGGTGCTGGGCCCGGGACAATGCGGAGAAGGCGGGCCGGGCCTCCCGCGTCGCGTGCTCCGGCTGCGGCGTCCCCACCCACACCGCGCCCCCTCGCCATCCGCGCCGGCCGGGCGCCCACCCGGGGCCTGGCAAGCCGCTGCCGTCACGCCCGGCCGGGGATCCGCGGAGTCGGAACGCGGAGCAGCAGCTGCACAAAGGGTAGAAGGGTGGGGATGACGGGTGGGACGGAGGCAAAGAGGGCAGGGGCAGCCGGCAGGTCCGAGGCGTTAGGAGTGCGCGAGTACCGCGGTGCGCACCCCCTGCCCGACTCCGCTCCGCGCAGTCCCAGGCCCGCCTGGCGACACCCGGAGCGGCCGCCGCATCTTGGCGAGGCCCGCCCGCAGCTTCCCCAGTCGCCAGCTCCACGGGGTGGAGGCTGGCCGCCGGCGACCAATCCGGAGGGGTATGCAAACATGGAGGCGGGGCCAAAGGTGGGACCTTAACAGTGTCCTGGTTTGGGAATTGCTGGATCAGCGCGGCGGTCCTGCCAGTCTCCACCTCGGACTTCAGTTCACGTCTATCTGGTCTACCCGAAATGATCTGACGTTTACCTGTTGTGTCCTAGGTCTCCTGTTCACTACGAGTCCTCACCTCGTAGAGCAGGCTGGCCCATTGATACCTTCCATGGATATTCTTCGAATATTATTTTGCAATTACCTTAAAGACTTCGAGGGTTTAAAAGCCTATGGCCCAAAACCGCAGGCTAGGAGCAGTAAGGCGTTTGAGGGCATCTTCCAGAACTTACATTTTCCTTAAGATTCTCTCTCCCTTTCTTTGGGACCCATTTACGTCCTCTAAAAGCACACAGTTTCACCTAACAAACACTCTTTCCTTAAAGGAATTTTCAGACTCGAGATTCACGTAGCTCATTTTTTTTTACAACACGCCATGTGCTGTCCCTGACATACTCTGATCCCGTCTCTGAATAAATGCGACAATATATTCAACGCATGGCTTGTGCCCAGAATGTAGTCAGAATACCTGCAAATCCGCAAGAGGCGTACAGTGCAGGAGAAAAGTGTATAAAAGATCAATCAGACAATTCACAGAGGATGTTCAAGTGACCCAGTAAATGTAATAATGAGGAAATGCGTCAGGAAAATGCAAATTAAACTCACAACTAAATACTACTGCTGCTGTCGTTTGGATCTTAAACGTCTCCCAGAGGCCCATGCAGTTAGAGATTGGTTCCATGGCGGTGCTGTTGAGACATAGGGCCTACTGGGAGGTTGTTTGGTCACAGGGTGGTGGTGGTGGGGTGTCCCCGTGGAAGTGTCTTCCTCGTTCTCTTTATTTGCCAGCAATGATATGTGTGGCTTTGTTTCACCACATTCTCTGACCATCGTGAGCTGCTTTGTCACAGAGCTAAAAAGGCAGCAGAGCCAATGACCATAGACTGTGATCTCCAAACCTATGGATCCGAGCAAACAAATCTTTGCTCTTTAGAAACTGCTATGTTATGGTGCGCACCTGTAATCCCAGCTCTTGGGAGGCTGTAAACAGGTGGATCACAAGGAGTTTGATCTAGTAGTGAGACCTTGAACACCCTGTAGACCCAGCCCCAGAATCAGGTGTGGTGGTGCACACCTGTAATCCCAGCACTTGGGAGATTGAGACAGGAGGATCACTACCTATGAGTACAAGATCAGCCTAAGGGGCTATAAAAAAGTGAGCACAAGGCCAACCCAAACTATAGAGAGATACTGTCTCAAAACAAACAAAAAAGAATTGCTATGTTAGAATCTTTCTATCACTGTGACAAAATACCTGTGATAAATCAACCTAAAAGGAGGAAAGATATTTTTCAGTCATGGTTTCAGAGATTTCAGTCTCCTTTGTTTTTTGGCCTTTGGTAAGACAGTGCATCAAGGTAGGAAGGGCCTGGCAGAGGAAATGGTTAATTTCTTGGCAATCAGGAAGCAAAAAGAAGGAAGCTGGGGAGATAGCTCAGTAGAATAAGCACTTGCCTGGCAAGCGCACGGGCCTGAGTTCAATCCCTGGAAAATAAACAAAAAAGAGAGACAGAAGGGGCTGAGAACCTGACATCCTATTTAGGAAGATGATTTCAATAAACTTTTTTTCATTCTTTTTTTTTGGGGGGGGTACTGGAACTTGAACTCAGGACCTTGTGCATGCCAGGCAGGTACTATACCACTGAGCTGTATCCCTGACCCTTAACTTCCTTTCATTAGGCCCCACCTCTTAAAGTTTCTATTACCTCCCACTAGAATCATAGATTGGTATCTAAGCCTTTGTTTTGCAAATGAGACCTCTGGGGGTACTTCCAAAGCATAGCCGTTGGTTATCTCAGGTATTTGTTATAGTGACAGAAGTTGACTAACACATGCTATTCACAGCAGAGTGGCAAAAATTTCTTTTCTTAAAATTTTAAAGTCAGAAAATGCCTAGTGTTGTCAAGAACACTGAGCAATTGAAGCTCTCTCCCACAGCTGATGGGGGTGTACAGCAGGGCAGCTACCTAAGAATGTTGGTGGCTAAGATCTAGGCGAGTGAAAAACAGGATGCTGCAGGCTCAATTCCCTGGCAACTGATCCTGGGAAGGAGATTAGTTTAGCCTGCAGGAAACTGGTTAGGGAGCGCTTTCTGGGGAAGGGCACAGGGAGAGGCTGGGTTGCGCTGTAGCTTCTACAGAGGCCTCGCTTGATCCCTCGAGAGCTCGGACTCTGAAGTGTCTGGGTCACTTCAAAGCTATTCCCAGTGGCAATGAAGAGGAGGACTTCATAGCCCCCTTCTGCACAGATCAGCTGTCATCGAGTGGCTGCGGCTGTCCCTGGGAAGTGTCATGGCCTGGCTACTAGAGTCTTTTTCAGTGGGAACAGGTTCTGAGAAAGGCCTCGTGGCTGAGCACGGTCTGCTCACAGCTCACTCTGCAGCCCAGGGGGGCAATGCCTGAAGGAGAGTCTGTGGGCTGAACCACAGCACCCACTACGTAGGCAAGCTCTATGACCAACTACTCTGGCCCTGTACATGTGCAACAGAAATATGTTCCTATGTGACCAAAAGACATGCGCAAGAATGTTCCTAGCAACATTATCCACAGTGGCTCACTCTGGAAACAACCCAAATGTCCGCCAACAGTGGAGGAATACAGTACATGCATGGAGGTAGCACAAATTAAAAGTTAGGGAGCAGCTCAGGCACAAAGAACAAATATTGACATCCATTTTGTAGTGTTCTGTAGCAAATTGTCCTAAATATGATGGCTTGAAATAAGATATCTTTATTACAGTAGCCCCTCGCTATTTCACAGTTTGACTTTTGCGGACTCACTGTTTTGCAGGCTTTCAAAAAAATATTAATCTAAGTTATTGGCTCACTTAGGCAGACACAGGGGCCAGGGGTTCGAGTCCTGGTCTGCCATGATGGCCCCAACCCCAGGAAGTGCTGAGATGGCAACTGAGCCTGGGCTTGGTGGCCCGCACGCCTGTAATCCCAGCAGTTGGGAGGCTGAAAAACAGGAGGATCACTGCAAGTCCGATCTGTGTAGTGAGACCCTGTAGACCCTGTACCAAATACATTAAAAAATAAAATAAATAATTTATCATGGATCTTTCGCTATATTGTAGGATTTTGCAGTACCGTACAAGATACAAATTACATAGGTTTATGAGTTTAGAAAATGGTTACAAACATTAGAAGTATTTTTAAAAGTGCGGAAAATGTTTATAAGAGTGTGGGAAATGTTTACAAAGCCTTAAAATATGTATAATTATTATTTCATTTATTTATTTATTTATTTATTTTTTTATGGCCAGCTCATCCCACCCTGGGGCGGAGCTGATGCGGCATGTGGAAGCAGGGATTGAACCTTGGTCCCTGTGCACCTGCCTAAGCAGGCTCTTTAGACCACTGAGCCATCTCACCGGCCCTAGAAGTATTTTTAAAAGTGTGGGAAAGTTTATAAGAGTGTGAGGAGAGTTTGTAAAGCCTTAAAATATGTCTAAATACTAAAACAAATATAACGTCATTACTTTGCTGATTTTCATTTATCGCAGGGGTGTCTGGAACATAAGCCTCCACAATAAGCGAGGGACTGCTGTATCTATAATTCTGTGGGTTAGAAGGCTCCCGTGGCTCCCACAAGCTCAAGTCAAGGTGGTGGCAGGATGGTGTCCCTTTTGGAGGCTCTGACCTTCCCGGCCATCCTCCTGTACTTTTGTACAGCATGTGGATGTAATGTTGGATCCTCCTGAATAATCCTGGATCATCTTCTGTCTCAAGGTCCTTAGTCTCATCTGTAAAATCCCCCAGAGCCATACCAGGAATATATTCAGAGATTCTGGGGATTAGGATGTGGGCATTTTGGGGATCATGGTTATACCTATTATAATATTGTATAACTTCATTTATATAAAGTCCAAAATGGACAAAAGTGATCCAGATAGTGTTTGGTCCCAGAAAAACATGTGAGAAACTCCAAGGTGACTTATTAATTTATTTACTGGGGTGATGAGGATTAAACCTGGGGCCGTCACACTGAGCTACATCGCAGCCTCACACCATTTGTTGTTTTTGAGATGGGGCTTTGCTCTGTAGTTTAGCCTGGCCTTGAATGCATTATGCAGCCCAGGCTGGCCTCTTGTGACAGTTCTCTTGGCTCAGCCTCCCAAGTGCTGGGACTACAGCTATGCACCACCAACCATGGCTCCTTTTTTATCTTGAGACCCTGGACTCATTAAGTCAGTAAGTTGCCCAGGCTAGGCAGAAACTTGTGATTCTTTTGCCTTAGCCTCCCAGAGTGCTAGGATTACAGGCATGCATGTACCTGCCAGATTATTTTTAATTTAATTTAAAAATTAAGTAAGGATGTTATCACTGTAACAACTTTTAAGTGTATAGCTCAAGGGGTGCTAAATACACTCATAATGTTGAGATCATTATCATCTATCTTATCATCTATCTCTTGAACTCTTTGCCATCTGTAAAACTGAAGTTATGTTCCCATTAAACACTAATTCACCCTTTGGAAGTGTTTTACTTTCTGAATCCTTTCTTTCTTTTTAATGTATTTGGTTATCACAGGGTCTCACTACACAGCTCGGACTCACAGCGATCCTTGTGTTTTCACACGCTGGGATTGTAGAGGCGTATGCATCACTACACCTGAACTCTGTGCCCAGTTCAGCCCTCCCTGGAAGCAGCGCTGGTGCAGTATGTTGTGCTGGGGATCGAACCGTGGTCCCTGCACCTGCTTAAGCTTGCTGAAGCAGGCGCTTTAGTCTGCTGAGCTATCTCGCCAGCCCAAGAAGTGTTTTACTTTCTGATCTGGGTGCTGGTTGCATAGTTATGTTCATTGTGTGAATGTTTAAGTCTATG